TCCTCTCTTTCTCCCCTATTTTTTTTTTCCTTCCCCTCTGTCTGTCTTTAGGATAACTTAAAGCTGTTTGTCTGAAACAAAAGACTTGCATGGGTCTGGTCAGTAGTGCCTCTGGATTGAATGGTCACGATTTCAAATCCTGTTTAGGACTAAACTTGGACAAATTCCATAAGCTAATAACCCAGCGCAGTGTTTCAAATTGATGGAGGTGCCGTCCTCTAGATGAGACATAAAAACAGAGATCCAATCTGCTTGGCAGAGACCCCACAGGACTTATCAAAGATGAGTGGGGGCTGCTAACTCTTTTGCCCTTGTCAAATCCTTACCACCACCACGGCTTCTCTTCCTGTTCCAAAGCAATGACACTGGACCTCGTGAAAATGAGATGGTGAACTTGAAGAAGCCATCCTTTTTCTAATTATTTAAAGCAGTTTGCAGTGTCTGGCAAAAGGGGGAAAGAGAGATAATCCACTCACTTGAAAGTGGAATGACCCTGAATTTCAAAAAGCAAAACAAAAGCGAGCAAATGGTGCCACCATGCTCTGCAGCAGTGACATTATTAAATGATCAGTGAGCTATTAAAGCAGCAACATTTAGTACCTCCCCTAATGACTTGTACTGCTAACTGGTTTCCAAATTGAGATTTTATTGCCTCCATGCACAGACAGAGCAAGACTGTGTCTGTGCTTCTAGAGGCTCCAGCTTAAGCAGACTGTTCACAATAGGATGGATGAATCTTCTCAGTTGAAAACTAATAATGGCTTATGAGATTCCTCATTCCTCTGTCCTCTTTTCTGACCAGGGCTGGAAGCTTTGGGGTGTGAGGCATAGTAGCGATCATAAATACGGGGGATTTTGCAGAGAGCCCAGCACAATTCTTGAACTTCCTAACATCTGTGAAATTTGGCAGAGTTGTGGATAAACAGACTGTCCTGAAATCTCCCCCAAACCACTGATGCAATTCAAAGAGTGAATGCTCTGAGAACGGCTTTTGCAGGAGGGTCCTTGGGCACTTTGGTTTCCACTTCCAGTGAGAAATATGGAGCATGAAGGAATGAGTCTATGGAGGAGAAAGGAGAGGAAAGGGAATTGCAGACACTAGTGAAGGTAAAAATTCTCCCAGATGTTTCCACCGTGACTCTCCCAAAAGGATTTCTGCTATCTCATATGAGCTATTCCCATGATGGGAATAGCTGGGAAATGGCCTTCTATCAAGTGCATTTCAAACTAGGCAAGGAGTTCCTGTAAGCAAAATCCCAGTGTTTATAATTGCAGAAAGGAAGCTGGTTAAAAAGCAAGCAAGCAAACATTCCACCCAACAAAAGTGGGTTCTGGTTGTAGTTGCAATTATTTGTGTGCTCATCTTATACTGGAGTCCAAAGTGGAGCCTGGCTCTTCTGTGCACCTGAAATAAATGCAAATGTTATTGCTTTGATTTGTTTTTCTTCGTTGGTTCTGCACACGCGTGCCTCCAGCACTTGCTGAGTGAGTCAGGCCATTTCTCGACCAGGCTAGGCAGTCACAGGGAGAGACTGTTACTGCTCTTTCTGGTTTTATGTATCAGGTGCCTGATTTCCATGACAGAAACCGCTCATCCTTTGCGGAGGCGGCAGGCAGCGCAGAGGGGGTAGATGGCTTGAGAGACTAGTATTGGAACATGCACATTTTTTATCCCATGCTGCTTTGAATCTCTTTCCATCAATGCTGAGTGAAAGTTGTTCCCATTTTGTGACTTTTCAGTGGCTGCATATGGCACAGGTTTCCATTTGCAGTTTCTTCACTTTGTCCATCTAAGTGTGCATCCATGCTCCACAAAATGTCTTTACCTTTCCTGGTAATCTTAGCAAACATGAGGTCTATGTGGGCTGCAGAACTGGTTAAGAACTGGATAAAAATGGGGTGAAATGGCCTTCTGTGCTTCCTTTTCCAGAATTCGGCAGGACCAGTGTCCTGGTTTCAGCGGGGATAGAGTTAATTTTCTTCCTAGTAGCTGGTACAGTCTTGTGTTTGGATTTAGTATGAGAATAAAGTTATAACACACTGACATTTCTAGTTGTTGTGAAGTAGTATTTATACTAAGTCAAGGACTTTTCAGCTTCTCATGGCCTGCCGGAGGGGCACAGAAGCTGGGAGGTGACACAGCCAGGCCAGCTGACCCAAACTGACCAAAGGGATATTCCATACCTTATGACTTCATGCCAGTATATAAACTGTGGGGCTGCTGCTTGTAAACTGGCTGAGCATCAGACAGCAGGTGGTGAGCAATTGCATTATTTTGTATATCCTATTCCCTTTATCATTATTAATTCTTTCTTCCTTTTCTGTCTTATTAAACTGTCCTATTAACCTCAATCCACAAGTTTTACTTTTTTTCCAGTTCTCTCCCTATCCTGCTGTGAGGAGAGTGAGCGAGAGGCTGTGTGGTACTTAGTGGCTGGCTGGGGTTAAACCACACCAACCAATTAGATCTAAACCATTCGTGTCTGCTGTGGGTTTAAACTGTTCATGAACACCTCTGGCCTGGAGATTTCCAGATGTGCTAAGGCAGGTTATTCCAGTGGTTAACTGTCCTTACCTTTAGAAAGCTGTTCCTAAGACACAAGTTCAGCAGTAGAAATGGATTCCTACAGGTTGGGGTTAAGGCAGGGTTGCAAGGCATCATGTAGGGGCTCGTGTAGCTACTTCCTTGGCTGCACCCACGCTCATCTAAGGGCTTCCTCCCCTAGGACAGCAGGTCAGGTGTTTCCCACTGTGCAAACACAAGCAATGTGGAGAGACAAAAGAAAAGGGCAGCAGGGCCATTTCTGGCAGAGGAGCCTTCTGAGATTGGCACTGACAAAATGTCCTAGAGACTTTACTGAGTCCAATTACTACTTTATGTCTTTAAAGTGCCAAGTAAATGAAAGAAACTACAAGATCAAGCCATGTTAGTCTTCTCAATCCCTTAAATGTTTGACAGCCCTCTCCTCTTCTTTCTCTCTTTCTCAGACTACTTTGAACTCTTAACCTTTGCCGCTGCTTTGAGTTCACATCTGCAGAAACCAAACTACCCCCAGCCATCCCCAAATTCCAGTAAGAATCACAAAACACTTTCAAAGCAATGCTGCCCTCCCTCGAATTGATAAACTTTAAGCTGTCTCCAACTTTCTGAACTTTCATGCACGTACAGTTAGTCTCGTCCGTCAGTGCTGGCAGGCTGCAGGGGAGCTTACTGGGAACTGCAGCAGCCGTGAAACAGCCGGTGCTGTTTCACACAACCAACTATCCCTGTCCACGCAGACAACAGCCGTGAACACCAGCTGTTCAGGCTGTGCTGTACTGCTGGGCAGAAGAATATAGATGCCTGCAGCTCATACGGTATTAGGATCTCAATAAGCATATCAGGATAGACCCTGAAACAGGAGGGATAGATCCATGTAACCATCCCCAGGCACAGCAGTGGGAAATGGAAAAGTGGGACCTGATCACTAAGAGAAAAGCAGGGTCAGTAGTCCTCCTCAGCCACTAGAACTAGGCTTGACTGCAGTGCTCACAGAGCTGGTGGCTGGCTTTTTGCAGAACTAGAGCTAAGGATTGAGTCACGTCAGTTCAACCTCCCCTTTAAATAAATAAATAAATTATAAACAGAGATCTCACAGTGATGCCTGAACCTTATGTTTCATGCTCACTTGTTTTGATGTGTCTAATGTAAGTGGGCGGGTAATAAAAGCTTCATTTAGAAGCTAGCATCTTCACAGGCGCTGCTGGAAGCCCCTGGGACACTGCACTTCTGGAATTTTCCTCTAATGGAAACATCAGCAGATAACTATTGATAAAGCAGAACATGCACGCATGCACACAAAACAACCCAGCAACGGTTTATTTTCCTGGACCGCTGGGTGTTGAATGCAGAGGTGTATGTAGATTCTCCAGGTTATGTGCCCACCTCAGCTTTTGCATCAGCACTCCTGAAATGGCCATTACGATGACCATTTGGGGCAGTGCCCTGGAGAAGTATGCGGTTATTGTAGTGTGGGTAGGCATCAGTTCAAAATAGGCAAATAAAGGAGTACTCAGCACCCATAATAGAGCTGTGGATCACGGCATCGACTGCATTTCTCCCAGCTGGACATCACCCTGTAAGTGATAAGCAGTCTCTGCTCTGTAGCAGGCAGACCTAGTGCTGCCATTTCACACAAGCAGGAAATTCACCTCATGGACATGTTGTCTAGGATATTATTTTTCAACACATTCACAGGTTACTCAGCTTCTTTTTAGGCAACTGAGTCTTCAGGAAGCTCTGGTTCCTGTGCCTGCCAGGTCTCTGTGGCAGCTCTGATGTGCAGCACTTGCCTGGTATTGGACTCAGGGTTAGCTGAAGGAGGAATTGTGGCTGGTGAGGAGAGAAGAGCCCCCGGAGTTACTGCTGACCTCCTTAAGGTATTCTACTGTCCTTCCAGTTCAGTGCTAAAATCACCATGTCAGGTCCTCAATACAACACAGTTAAAGAACTATATATTCTCCCAGGACAGTGTGGGGGTCAGTGCTAAAGGTTTGGAGGGCTACAGCTTTAATCCCAACCCTGAGTTTGTACACTGGTCCATGGCTGCTTCATACCATGACATTGTTGACCTTGTTTCCTGGATACAAGCACAGAAATACTGCCTGTATCCAAGCATTTTTAGGTAATTATTCTCCCCGAATGTGAAAATTGGAAGACCCCTTTGTCTAGCATATTACTTCATGACCACCACAGGGATCTGCAACCAGGCGTGGGGGGAAAGGGAGATTGTTTCCTCCTGTCTGTGGTTTTATGCAGCATCTGACTGTGAAAACAAGATGACCCCCACTTCATCTGCTTGCGTAAGTCATTTTGCCTGAAGCCTGAGTACTGTGGGATGGTTAATGTAAAACTTGCTCATGCATCAAATAGTAGTAATTTACCTTTAGACTCTGCTTTTTTTATTATTATTATTTTTAATTATTTCAAAAAAAAATGCTCCTTAATTAAAAAATCACAGATATGAAGCTTGGAAGAAATGTGGCCAGGACATTCTTGGATTACTACAGGCTGAACTCCTTGGTGGAGAGACCACTAGCACCTACTCCTAAAATTCGGTAGGTCAGAAAGCAATTTCTCTTGCTTTAGCAGGGCTGCTTTTTTAATACCTTTCATGACTAAACTTCAGTGCTACTGCATTATGGCTTTATAATAAGTGTGCTAGTCTAACTCTGCTATTTTATTGAAATTCCATTCGGAAATAAAGCATTTATGATCAGGAAAGATACCTGGTTTATGTCTGAAAAAATATTCAGAGGATTTTGGAGATATCGATATCTTTCCTGGATTCTGTCTGCTGTACACCAATCTCACACCAGTATCTTTAATGGACTTACCCTTCATTTATCTCCTGAGAGTGAGAGGAGAATCAGACCCACTTTATTTTGAAAAGTTTTAATTCTGGAAGTGAAAACTTTTTCAGTGCTTGAGGAAATTACTGGCAAGTCTGTGCTAAAGGCAGGGTTCTTCATCTCCCCTTGGACCTGCCGCAGTGCTGGCAGCCAGATGGCAGTTCCTTCTGCCAGTCCAACTGGGACCCTTTACCTGGGGATCCCCTCTTGCCATAAATCCTTACTACAGCTTTACAACCGGTTCAGTGGATGTCTGTCCAAAAAGAAGTATTTTTGGAAGTGAAGTAAGGCACTGGTAAGCAATGCATGGAAGCTTGAACAGAGTGTTTGAAATGCCTGAGCTTGAATCCCTGGCAGTGCTGTTGGCCCTCTGTCTGGCATTGGCCAACTGGTGTCCTTTTAGTGTCTCTTAGTTTGTGTGAGGAGCAGGGGAGATACCACTGAACCATTTATTGGGAACTGTCATTCCTTGAACAGGCAAAGCTGGGTAATAACCTGAGGAGGGGAGCAGACCAGGAACCAGAGCTCCTATTTCATGGGAAACGCCATATTCAAAATCTGCCTCTGTTCTGAGAACACGGCAATGACACCTCCAAACTCAAAATTTCCAATTGAATGCATTTGGGCCAATTGGAATGTTTTATTTGGGTTTCAACTCTTAATAGCACAACCAAATATACTTTACATTTTGCAGTGGAAAAGCCAATTCCAAATTGGCAAGGAAGGCAGCTGAGCCTTGAAATTCACTTCCTTCTTCCCACTTTTACCCCCCCCCCCCTTAAAACAGTGTTGCTTGTTTGTGAAGCAACACTTTCCTACTGAAGATTTTGTAGTGATGCATAAGATGGATGTTAGAAATATCAGCCCAGACCATAAAGCAATTGCTAGAGTTCCTTCTGCAGCCTTTAAAAATCTTCTCGGTGCAGCCATTTTGGCAGTTCCTTATATACGTGGTCAGAGACAGCCTGACTGTTAGGTGTTTAAATGCCCAGCTTTGAGTTCATCTCTCTTTCTGTGTTCGTGATCTTGACACAACAGTTTAGGCTGGCTCAAGGAGGATTGTCAGCACTGCAGTTCTGAATGCTCTTATCTGCAGAGACCTGCAGGGTTAGCAGAGAAAAGCATTCAGCATCTTCCTCTCCTCCGGAAATTGAATGTATCATTTCTCTCAGACTCCCAGGGGCCACAGCCTCCAAGGCTAAAAACCCACAACTATTACTGAACCTAATTACCACCTGACAGCAAAGTGCTTTTCCGTACCATCATTCAGTTACCTCATCAAAAGGAATGTTTGTTTGCTTTCTTCATTTTAAATTAAAGAACCACTGACAGTGGTAACTGAAGCATTTTAATCTCATCAAATATCCATGTCCATCTCTATAGAGACAGCCACGCCAGCAGGGAAAGATACACATCTATAATCGGGTTGCACTGAGCAGATTTTTCTCGTTCCCCCACCAAAGCCTAATAGGGTGAGGGATCTTTTGTTTAGTGAGTGCTACCTCGCAGTAAAATCCTAAATACGGTAGATGTTCAGCCCAAAGCCAACAGATGTTTAAGGAATAGATTTTTAAAGATTCATGTTGTTAATTTCCTGATAGCTTTCAAATACCAGCTTTTCCCTGTAAGTAGACAAATGGCTTCTATTTGTATCCTGGGCTTTGTCACCTGACATTTGATCAGATCTTGTATATATATAAAATGTACATCAATGAAATGAAATTGTTCTTTGAAGCTGTCGTATTAACTGAAACCTGTCCAAAAGAGAATCTTGCAAACGGCTGGGAAACAGAAGGAAGATGGCTGTGGCTTTAAATATGCCTTGGCTAGGCAGTCGTACTAGGAAAGGATTGGAATATATAAAATGATACTAAATATCTGTGTAATCAGGACTAATTATATATCATGGTTATTAGCTTGAAACAGGACATGTTGTGCCCACAGTTTATGAAAATATATTAAAACATTACCAGATTCCACATACTCATTGAAAGAAAGCTGCAGAGTTAATAAATGTGTAAGGGACAACTAATTGGCTGCTTTGTCCCAGCCTACTACAGGCAGAAGAATTTCTGTTTGAGGGAATTAGTGCAGCCAAAATGTGTTGTAACGATAGCCCTGGAAATAGCAACAACCTGCAACACTTCCAGAGCAAATCTGACTGAAAGATCTTAAAGAAGGAAATATTTATGTTGGTATCACCACGTTGCAGAGAAGGAAACTGAGGCACAGGAAGGGAGAGACAGTCTTAAGAGTCAGAAATATGGCTGGTACCTAAATTTAGGCACCTTTCAAGAGTTTAGTCCACATAGGCTGTCTGGCAACAGCCATCCTAGAGCACAGGCAATGTGGGCTGTTCAGTGGGAATTGAATTAGGACCATCTGAAGCAAAAGGCAAGAACTGTTGAAACAGCTCTGGTTACAGAACCAGGATTGAGGCTGGAGCTAGGGTACCCCCTGCTATCCCATATACTTGTGCAGCTTATTTCAAGAGGTGAAGAGAAAGAGCTGTATCTGTATAAGGTGCTTATGTGCCTGTAAGTGAATTCAACTGGTCAACTGGAACTGTGGTTAAATTCCACCTGCCCTTGTCTACAGAAGCCCCTGGGACAAGTGTCACCTGTAGATGGGCCCTTCAGTTCCTCTCTGTGGAACTGTGCCCACTACCCTCCCAGAAACCAGGCTCCACTGACCTCCCAAGAGGCCACCGTGGAAGTGAGGTTTGGGCTGGAGCCCTCAAGTCTTTGCCAAGTCTGCCAGTGGGGAGGGGCAGTTGGGGTGCTGTGCTTTGTCCCTGAGTGGCTAGAAATTGCTAGAAATGAATGTTGAACCCATCATTGTGGTCTTTGAAGGGTTTGGGGTAAGCTTTGGTGCACCTAACTATGCACTGGGCAGTCGTGTTTCCTCCCAACATGTCCTCACCAGCGAGAGGAGGTGTTCACAGTTACAGGCCATAGACATCAAAAGTTTAGCAGCTTCTGCTCCCTCTGCAACCAAAGGAACCTCTGGGCAAACCTCAAATCCCCAAGTAGCTCAGATCCCTGAAAAGACCTCTGGACTGTGCACTGACTCTGTAGAGAGGCCAGACATGAAAATGAAATGCTTAAAGGGTTTTTTCTTAGCACCGTCTTTACTTCTTAGACAGTTTTTCCCCACCCTGTCCAGTATGGTTATTCTCCCATTCACCCTCCCTCCCACCACAGCTTATCCAGTCCCTTCCAGAACTCTTCAGCCCCTTCCCTCTGGCTGAGCTTCTTCCAACCTTCCCCCCAGTCCCCCAGCAGCCCGGCCCAGTGCCTGTGCAGGGTTTCCCACAGCCTGCAAGGGAAGGACAGGACTTGTTTCAAACAGTAACCCCAATGTGTCCTGCAGTCCTCAGCGTGGGAAGACCCTGTGATCCCAAACAAACAACCAATGCAGAAAGATAATGTCTGTTATCAGTATGCTAAGCAATTGTTTTCCTGAAGGTGATGTGTCTGTGGCAAGATAGTAAAAGCATCAATGACTCAGCTGGGGAGGGCAGGAAGGTTAGAATATTTTCCTGTGTGAGCTAATGAATTAAAAGCCTTGCTGAAAATGCTGGACATTTTCTGGAGTGACAAGCCAGTAGGCCTATGAATTTCTAACAGAGTAAAAGAGACTTCTGTGCTGCCTACAGAGGCTGCTGGAGAAGAAAGTGCTGCTATTTAGACATGCTTCAGAGAGGCTCAGGGAAGTCCATCCAGGACACAAAGAAGTCTCTTTAAGGTTGGGTTAAGTGGACACAGAGCAGGAGAACACAGTGCAGAAAGGGGCTGTCGGGTAGCAATGAAGGTTCATGCCCTTCTCTTGTTACTGTCCTTTTTTAAGCTGCTCAGTGACTAGCAAATTCTGCACACTGCACTCACTGGAAACCATTTGAGTGGTCTCCCTTGATGCTGCTGGTGGCACAGGGAGCTCTTCTTCTTACCAAGTCTCTCTCCTGCACTCACCTCTTTCTACTTGTGCCAGAGTAAAGGTTAAGATTGCTTGGGTTGAAAGTGAGAAAAGTAATCCACTGAAATCTTTGGTAAAAGGTGAAAAAATCGTAAGAGATTAAGAGAAAAATGAGTACAGCTCTAACAGAAAATGGTTAAGGTAGGAAAACAGAATTTTTGCTGAAAAATTCGCAAACGCCAGTCACCTTGCCCTGCCTTAAGTCCACCCCTTTGCCCACATCAGCACTGCTCTGTTCTTTCACTCTGGCTCATTGACTGTGCAGCAGAGCCCTGCTCCAGCACACATCAGCAGAGGAACTGTTGCCTCTTTAAACCACTAACATTTTTTTTCTGAGAGCCATCAGTTCCATGTTTCTCATTTTCTGGACACACTGGAGTTCAAATTATAGAAGTGTGGAGTGCTTACAGCTCTGGCTGAGGTTAGAGGAGCTGGGCTTTAAACAGAAACCCTGAAAAATCCCACCTGGGCCTTGCTAGTCATGCAACTCTTGTCTGCACCACGTTTTCCTATAGGTAAAACCCAGACTCTCTGCTTATAGTTGCTGCACTGACACATGAGAAAAAAGTCCATGAGAAGATGAATAATTCTGTCTAAGAGCAGGGATTTGATGGCATGAAGCAAATAATGCTTGGAGCACACTGAACAAAAAAAGGACAGATCAGAATATTGACTGGCCCTTCATTAATTGTCGTCTGTCCATCGTGCCCTGAATGAAGCAGCAGTCTTGC